GTGGAAGAAAAGTAAGAGGAAGAAAGGAGGAAGGTAAGGAGGAAGGAAGGAGGGTGGAAATGGAAGATGAAGAAGGAAGGAAGGAAGGAAAGAAGGGAGGAGGGTGAAAGGGAAGTAAGGAGTTTGGAAAGGAAGGTAAGGGTGGAAGGAAGGAGGGAGGAAGGGAGGTAAGGAGGAAGGACAAGAGTAAGGGTTGAGGGAAGAAGGAGGTAAAAAGAGACATAAAAAAAATTGAAGAAAAGAGAGGAAGAAACAGACAGAGGAACCAACTGACAGGTGTATCACATAACTTGTTAACCCTGGAGTAAAATAGCCACCTTGATTAACACCATCAATGTACAGTTGTGAGAAGACAACAACATGATGGGCATGACAAGCACCATTGGTGATCCAATATTTCTGTGCCAAAGGAGTTGGTGTGTTGACAATGAACTCCTCAGTCTCCTTGTCATAGGTGGCTGTTGTTTCCATCTGTACTGCATTGTTTCCATAGCCAAGTTCTGTCAGACCAAAGCAGCCCACATCCTCCAGTGTGTCAATACCCTAAATTTGATTTACAAGAACATTTCTAAGCATACTTTACATAAGAGGAGCAGGTGAAGCCATTATCCAAGTTAATTTCCCTTTCCTGATTCTTTAGGGTTTTTTTTTATTTATTTCCCTTTATGCACTTACTATGTAAGATAGGATGCCAATGAAGGCTTAAAGAGGAGACCAGGCTTGATTTTGGGGACCCAAGTGATTAGCCAAACTGTAACCCTTCACACCCTGAAACCAAAATGCATATTCTCCATTCTGCTCTCCGTACATCTCCTTAGGTACTGACATAAAGAACTTGTTTAGCAACCAAGAACTCATTGGTTGGAGATCATTTCCTTTATTCTTGTGACCTTAATGTGTAATTCAGGGATGATATTGTGAGGAGAAATGAGAGGCTGGTCTCTCTGAGGGGTTCAAGAGTTAAGAAAAACTCTGAAACAGTCTTATAATTTTGGATTTGACTGAAGTGGGCAGCTGATTAGTGGTGAAGTTCTCCTCACAAATAGACAAGTCTGGTCACCTTGTTTGATTGTGGAAAACAACCTTCATGTTTACTTACAAGAAGTACCTGTGAAGCTTTGTATGTGAAATGATTTATCAAAAACATGAAACTGCATGCAGCAATTACCTTAAGCTTAGCAAGATTTCTTCACAACCCAATATCAATTATGTATACAGTTCTTCGATAATTAAAGTAAACAACAGTGAAAACAATAGATTGCCTTTGGGATTACGGCCAATTGTATTGGGGTTATACGGAAATCTTCCCATTACCTTTAACAGCTTGTCATGGTGTCTCTCTGTCCCCAACTTCAACACAGTACCACCAAACAAGTTAAACTGGACCGTCATTTTGGTAGTCATTGCAGCATCCACTACGGCGGCCAGCTCGTGGGCTGCGAAGATCCACAGAGGGTTGTTCCTGAAGTCGAGCACAGATATAAATCCTTGATCACAGAGTTTCTTCAGTCTTTTCAGGGCCAATTCCCTCTCTTCGTCGATAGAAATGTTGTATTTTGGGGTCATCAGCGGATCTTCTGAGAGAATTTTACGAAACTTCGCTCTTTTCTCTTGGTTGTCGTGATCCAGAAGGAATGTCATTTGCGACACATCAAACGATGCTTTTCCCCATTCATCTCTCAGTTTATATGGATCTAGCTCCAACTCATCTTGTAGTTTCGGAGAGTCCAGCTGTGCTGAGGCTGCAGATAGCGAAAAGCTACGAGTATTGTGAAAGTTGGGTCGATATTGAGACTGTTTGTTTTGAGCCTCACTACTCGACCGAATGCTCTCCACACAGAGAGCTCTTCGAAGAGAAACTGTAGCAAGGGTACGGTTAAATCCTCTCGCGACAAGTGCACTTGCTGAAAGCATGACAAAACTTGAAAGAGCTGACGCTCTGAAAACTTTTCTTCACAGGTAACTGAAGACCGTAGGACTTTGGTCGTTGTTATCGACGTGACACTTTTTACAGTATGGCATACACAAAGTAATCACTGACACAAAATGGAGATCAGCGGTTGCTTTCACTAACTGATTTTGCCTTCATGTATTTACAATAAAGTATATCTAGGGTTTCTTGCCTTCGTAGACAACAGGTAATAATTCGATTTAGCGCTTATTTACTTTTGGTACCTCAAGGGAGGAAGCGTATTCGAGACTGGGCACGTTTTAGGAAAAGGGCACTTATTACTCTTTTCAGAAACAGCAGAATGTGAAACAAAACTTCGATGTTTACTTAAATGAGGATAAAAAATAAAAATTAAAAAAACTGGAAACCGCACTTGTTGTCCATAGATCCTTCTTGGCTAGAATGACTATCCGAGAAGTCGTCGTTCCTTCCCACTCGTCATGGAAAAGTTAATTAAATTTTAATACCATAAAAGAATAAAAAAATCGAAACATGTTGTTTTAATGCTTTTTTTAAATTTCATTTCAGCAACAGGTCCCGAGAACAAACTCACAAAAGAAAGAAAATCCCCCACGAAAGCAGCTCTGCACTGAACTACATTAAAGCTTCTGATCAGTCCTTCCCTGAGTCTGAACAGGCTTAGCGTATTCCTGAAATTGAATAAGAAAGAATTCTAACGCTGTGCGACTGAATAAAACAGACGATTGTGTTAACCTTTATTAACCCTAAGAGTGATTAGCAACTATATTCTCCTATCAGTACACCCCTAAAACAAACATTGAGTTCATGAGAATAAAGACCATGATGACTACGATGTAAGGAAGCTCTTGTTTTTTAAACAAATTCTCTTTGTCAGTACCATAGGAAATGTCTAGAAAACAGTGTGGAGAACTGATGTTAGGGTGTAAAGGGTTAATTATACCCTCGAATTGTGCTTCCAGATCTCCATGAAAATTTGCATGGATGTAGTTTTAGTTTGTTTCGAACCTTCTTAATCATCGAAACTGCTGTTTTTCACCAGGTAGAGTAGACGGAGTTTTTTTTTTGTTCCTAGACGGAGATCCAGAAAATTTAGAAAGAGAGGGCCTTGGGTGAACAGGACCAGGATGTAGCTTATTATCGTGTCCAGTGTTCCTCGTCATTTCATTTCTTCCCACTAAAAACTATCTAATGCGACGAAAGACAATTAACTTTTTTTTGTATCGTTCAGCTGAAATAAACTTCACTCATCAAGTCAAAACCACCACATTTATAATGACAGCAAAATGGAACTAAAACGCCTTTTTTTCTTCAAGGCGACAGTTTACAAAGCCACGAACTGAGTGGCACATCACTCCCGCAATGCATTTTTTTGTCTGAAATGCACAGTCACGTAAAATCAAACTGAATACCTTAAAGCAAGTAAACCACCAAAACGTCAGCAACTCCAACGCTGTCTGCAGCAATAAAAACAAAAGGTTATTTGATCAACCTGGTTACAAAAATTTATTAAACTTAAGTGTTGAAGGCGGTAGATTCTATGAATATATTACACTTCATCTCGATAAAGGCAAGACATGTTAAAAGATATCGCCAATCAGTTGGTGCTAACGTGTCACTCGCCTTTTGCGCCAGTCCATTAAGGTTGACGAATGAATGTCAAAGCATTTACCATTCTCAATCCAAAGTCATTTTTCGAAATTTTCTCGGATATATGGCCTACATTATTGATACGAAAAAAAAGAACACATGGTCGTGATGTTTGTAGATATGGCCGGAATTTCTCTTCTCGTGTTCAACTCGATATCGCACGAGTGAGCGCGGCGAACGGGTGAAAGTAAACGCTCTAAGAGAAATTCCATATCTTCGCTTGCCCGTCTATTATTCTCTTTTCGACAGCCAGAAATTGCTTTAATTTGGTGAGTTGCAGGCGTAAAAGAGACAAGTTTAAGGGAGGGGAGACTCAGGAGAGATTTCTTTTAATTCCACTCGGCACATTTCTACTGATTGTAATCCACCCCCACCCCTCCATGGTAGATGGTAGACTTACTGTATTGGTTCCAGTTGGTGTATCCTGACAATTTGCTGTACAGGATGACGTTTTTGCGAGGAAGGAAACGTGTCTCCCATTTGCAGTAGTTGGAAGTGATACCCATCCATCCGGCATCTTTGGAACAACCGCCATAATTCCTGTTGATGAAGAAGTTACGATTGTCACGCGACAGGCCGGAAATAGAAAAGACGTTCTTTGACTCGGATTTCATGTCTCTCCAGGAGCTGTCAATTAGTTTTCTGGCCGAGAACCAGTTCAAGTTGTTTGTTCTCTGTGCATTGAAGTTCAATTCCTTGACTAGCTGCCCTCCGGTATAAAGAGCAACTCTCGCCTGATAGGAAGAAAGAGAAAAGAAAAAAGAAAAGTAATTATTTTTACCAGTTTGGCAACAGCAAAGGAATGGATGGGTGCGTAAAAATGACAACACGGAACCTTCATTTGCTTCAGATATGCGACAGTTTTATTCCACGTAATTGACGAGCGTTTCTATGGTGACCATTTTTGACTGACTTGACACTTCCCGCCCAGACTTATGATTAAAATTATTTTTGCCCGAGGGCAAATTTAAATAAATAATATCATTTACAATTTTGAATAATTAACCGTTTGACTAAACAGATTAAAGGAGATGGTAAATTAGGAGCTCGGTGAAGAATTAGAGAAAGATGTCTTTTCCGTCTTGTCTCCAGAGTGAGACAAAAAATGGCCATATGTTCTCCGTAGAGTCTCTATAGAGCGCTGAATCGGAAGATTTAAAGTTCGATTCTTGATAGGGACTCGGTGTTTTTTTCGTTATCCCACGCTCGTGACACGACGACAGCATCTTTCTCGAATTACCCTTTCTTTGAAAGTAATGATTCATATTAACTTTTCCTTTTCATATTCAAATTACCTCTGACGCCCCAAAGTCACTCCATTTCAAAACTATTCTGTTCTTGTAGTGATCCTTGTGCTT